TGGGTGCGAGTGGCTAATTATCCTAATGCGCTGCTGTGCCAAACCTAATATTGTTTTATTTTCGGCAAATGTCGGCCTATTGATCTCCCGCTGTGGTAGCTGCGAAAAGCTGTTCGAAAAGTATGTTGGAAAAGCTGTTCCCTATTGCCCGTGTTAGCCGCGACTTGACGCATGATAAAATTATACCGAGGCGTGTATGATATATTTGTGAGCGATGCCTGCACGTTTTTACTTGCGAGCGGTTCCCGTTGCTGGTTTCGTTCGCTATTTCTATGGCAACCTCAATAACCAAGCCAGACGTACTGTGATTAACTACGTGGTGACCAACAAGTAATCAAAATCAGCTCTGTGCCTGAAAGTTGAACAAATGGACGAGAAAGCGATGCTTGGCATGCTGTCACGACTTGTGTGAGATCTGCGGTATGCAGTCATGGGCGACAGCTTTGTGCGCTCAGGTCGTGGGACACGTTGCTCTTCTTTTTTTTCGGTAAAAATGACGATACCGGTATTTTCCCTCAAATTCTTGCCGCTATACTTTATCAAGATGCAGAGAATTTTGCGTGTCAGATGGCATATGACAACCAGCCAGGCATATACTTCCCCAAAATAGGTCAGGAGCTGAGCAGACAAAATAGATAAATCTACCCTCGAAATACAGCCAGAAATGTGCTTCTTCCCAAACTTCGCTTACTTTTTCATAAAGTTGAGGGGCTGGACTGCCCTCCCATCCATACTAACTAAACAGGAATCTGCACCCCACCAACTAGTCCAAAAGATGACGTAACTTGGCGCAAGGTGTCTTATTACAGCTAATAAACTCGCATGTGCTGTGATATCTGGATTACCATGAAGTTGATGGGGAAGTTTACTTGTCCAAGGATGCTAGGAGGATCTTTATTCTCAACAGCGCAACGAAAAGCGACTCAAAACCCAGAAAGGATATAAGAAACAGCCTCACCCAAAGTGAACCAACTCTGCTCCACTTCCACCGACGTACAAAAGCCGAACCAAATCCTCCGTACCATTCCCCCAACCGATATGTATTATGCCGTCCCTCTATTTGATTTGCCCGTGCATCCCTTTGTTGCACTTGCTGGTTTCTCCTCAAGAACACTTCGGTGGCGCCATCGCTTGGAGTGCCTCACCTGGAGACACTGAGGCCCGGTCGGTCCCAGTGAGTGCCGCCACCGCACCCTGTGACGTATCACCCCCTCTGCCCACCCTGCGCCCCCGCACCCATTTCAGTGACACGTCACCCTTTACCCCGCTGAGGATTCGACAACATTAGTGGTACAACAAAAGCTCCTATGGCAGGAGCGCTACGGCCTTACTTCTACTGCCGAAACATATACCTGAAATTAGTGCCATGTGACAACCCGCACTGCAAAAATTTGTACTTGTCATTACTTCCACTGCAAACACTTAACTATAGTAATTACATAAACACGACATTACTTGTACTGCAAAGACCTACGCGCAACATTAGTGCTACACAGCGCAATAGAGTACCTCAGCTAGGCTATTCTAAATCTTAGTGGTGCTGGTATGAAAATTTGTGTATTTATTATGCTACGTGATTTTGTCCATTTGTAGCGGTTGGCGTATGAGCGAGGGCTGTAGTTTGGGCAGCAAAATCTCAACGACGGTTATATTTTTTTAGTGGAAGTCATGTCGCGTTTAAGTGAGCACCAAGCCGGGAGCGTAGTCTCGTATTCAGTTGGGGACCACACCGCCCCTCATCCGTGATAGGAGTGTGTCACATTCCGGGCAAACGCCGTGTTTCATGCCTCTCGGAGCAGGTTTGGCCGTTTTTCCCTACTTATTCCCCAACACTTGTTTGACAACACTACCACAGCGCACCATATGTCTTTCAATAGAAACAATGTCGCGTGGAACTATTGTCGTTATAGGTTCGTCGATCGTAATGTTTGCAGCACCAATAATATATCGCCACCATCGAGTGGGCACGAACAGTATAATTTACCTCGACCAAGTGATCCCACGTGTTGGTTCGTTTCAGGATTTTAGTGAAGCTTGGCTATGGCTCGGAGTACTGCCGGTTGTAATTTGTGGTTTATAGCTTATATCACATTGCATAAATGTCATAAAGTACTGGTCGAAAAACTAAATTGCCTGCGGGTATATGTCGCGTATACAAGAAGTACTGTAGCGTAAAAGTATAAAATATGTAAGTCTTTACTTTATAAGTATTGACGGACATCCGTTTTGCGGAATAAGTTGTTTCGAGTGGCGCCTATGTCGTGCATAGTTGTTTGCATTAGAAGTAATGGTGTTTATGGATAGAGTCTGTGCAAAGTTTTTGCAACAGAAGTAATGGCCGCGTATAACTGATATCACAGCAGTCCAGCTGGCATGCGTCTTTGCCGTAGTACCGATGTCATGACATCCCCACCGAGGGAGGCGATGCCATTCTCCGCCTGTCTCGAACTCCCCTCCCCACCCCCCTCCGTGTGACCCCGTTTGACCCCCGTACCCACAGCGCGTCCGACGCTAGACACGCTGCTCCGACTCGGGAGCTCGTCTCGTTTCGCCTCGCTGCTGGAGGCGACCGGTCTCGCTGACGAAGCCAACGGGCCCAATGTGACGATTCTGGTGCCGCCCGCGCGCCTCCTGCCCAATCGCTCCTCCATCGGGAAGGTGAGTGTGCCGCCCTGGTAGTCGGAGGACAGGCAATCGCTGCGTTTATGGAGTTAGCCCTGGAGGCACCCTCTCATATGAGTCCCGGGAGACACAAGCCCATCGTGTTCGCGTGAAAAAGTGCGGGCATCATCAGCTGCACCGCATCCTTAGCTTTCATGCCCCGTGGGTTGTCAAGGCGCTTTCGTTGCCACGGGGAAGGCGCCGTCCGTAAGTTGACGGGCAACGCCATGGTCTCCGGAGGGAAGGGCGGGGATCACCGGCAGCGGGGCAGATATCCTGGCAACGGTGTCCCGGGTGTGAGCTATGTCTAGCATCCAGAGATTATTCCTTTGATGTGCGCGTTCGGCCAGAGGTCATTGACTGGGCTGTGTTCATCATTAGCTGGAAAAGAGTGTGCCAAGTCTTTGCGCCAGGAGAGCGCACTGCGGGCTCAGCGACATTGGTGACACGACAGGAGCTCTTACCGACAAGAGTGCTACGACATCAATTCTACTGCCAGTGGTTGTACTCGACATTAGTGCTACGCGACAACACTTTCACTGCAAAATTCATACTTGTCATTGCTTCTACTGCAAATCCTTGTGCGGTCATTACGTACACACGACATTACTTCTAGTCCAAAAACCATACGCAACATTAGCGCACTAGAAACCTCGTGCTTCAAAAACTTACACTCGTCACTACTCCTTCTGCAAAATATATACAGTCATTACTTATGTACACGACTTTACTTGTACTGAAAAGACTTACACGCGACATTATTGCTATAGCTAAGACTTCCAGTTAAACCTTAACGCTTGTGACTTGTGGTCAAGATCTGCGGGCAAGTTTTTGCCACAGCACTAATATCGTGGCACCGCCATTAAAGATATTTATATATTATATATTTATATAATATACATATTTATATATAAAACATATACATATTTATATAAATATAAATATGTATATACTTATATTTATATTTATATTTATACATACGGATATATATATATATATATATATATATATATATTTATATATACGCATATATATATATATATATATATATCAAGCGCAGTATTGATCAATCTCCAACACGTTTAAACATGCTCGTGGTATGCCCTGCAAATGCGACGATATAAAATACACCAACCCCAAAAATGTGTTCATTAAATGTACATTGGGCGTATGTGATCCGGTCCCGTTATCGTTATGTTTTCGTCGTCCTCCTCCTATCCTCGCCCCTCATATAGCGACTGAATTCGCCCCTGGTTCAGCATTTGTGATGGCCTAATAGTTCCTGTCAACTGTGAAAAGCTAATATATTCGGACACAGTCCATTTAAAACGTCCTCTTCTGAAGCTGTTTCGCAAACAAGAAAAAGAAAAAGCAAGCAAACAAGCAAAAAAGAAAGTGTCGAAATGCACAATGCACTGACGCTGAAAATCCAGCTCACCAGTACAAACAATAAGCAGAAGCACTGTCCTAACTGTGCACTTCTGCGCAGGCGCCGGCCGCATTGCGCTCCCTGCTGCGACGTCACCTGCTGCGCGGTGCTGCGCTGCTGGCGCCACCTGGCGGCGCGAGGCACGTCAGCACGCTAGGCGACGCCCGCCTGCTGGTGGTCGGCCGGCCGGGCGGGCGCCCGCCGCTGGTCCAGTGCCGCCCGCTGCTGGGCAGGCTCGAGCTGGGCAAGCCGACTGTCGCCGTTCTGGCCGTGGCGGACGTGCTGCCGCCGCCGGCCGGCGGCATTGCGGGCCTGATTGGTGCGCGGCCGGATCTCTCCAACTTCGCGGCCGTGCTAGAGGTGAGGGCACGGGGAGGGGGCGCCACTGGGGAGGGGCGCGGTACTTCAGTGGTCTCAGAAGTGTACGTAAGTGATCTAGCCCAGGCATCCCGGGGCGCTGCTCTTGGGTGGAGGCTCGCGGTGTCTGCAGGGATGTAAGGCGCGCGGCGCTATTTCGAGGAGGGTGAGGGGTGGGGCTCAGCGCGGAAATCTTTCGTGGGTCGACGTCAAGCGGCTCGATTGGCGAGCTGGCGTCGGGCTTTGCTGGCTCTGACTTCAAAGATTGGGAGAGGAGAAGGGTGTCTTGGCGGCGAGCCAGATGAGATGGAACGCTGAACAGTTCATGTTTCCTGCATGAATTGCTTCCAGACTTTATATTCTTCCAGGGTCCAGGCTTTCAGACTCTAGAACGTATGTTTTGCTCATTCTCCGCGGGCGTTGAGTCCCGAGATCAAAGAAGGAAATGAAAGAGGCACGCAAAATCGTATATTCCGTAACTTAAGCGGAGTAATCACCATGGCCTTCCATATGCAAAGGCACAAATTACGACCCAATTTAAGTGGTGAGTTTACAGGCGGCCAGCATATTGGAATGTCCCGGCCCTGCAATTGTTGAAATTAGACTCGAGCAAGTGCGGTGGAAACGGTGCGGTTGGAGCGCACTTTATTGCTTGCCGCTGCGATGTAGACTGATTTGACATTGCTATTGACGTCATTCTACACGGCGTCGCGGGTATGCCTGGCGCGGAACAATGAGAATGTCTGGTGTGTTGAAAGGTTTCGGTTCTGTGGAAAAGTGCCAACATTGTTAGGCGTGTGCTTTTGCTGCTAAGGATATACGTCTTCAATTTCAGGAAACGAGACGCTAGTCATTCCCCGTGCGCGTAGCCTGGCCACATCAGCGCGTTCCTTTGTTAACATGGCGTGGTGTTGATATGGTTCATACGTGTGCTGTATGAGTCAGAGCAGCTGGCAGATCGTTTACAGCTTCCAGAGTCTGGTAATGCGAGCTAATACGAAATGTTCACATTGTATTTTGCCCTCTGCAATGTCAGTGACACGTGGTGTCTGTCCAGGGCTCGCAAAGCGGGGACGACTGGAGCACAGGATATCAAAATTGCGGCAGACCTGATGTCCTTGATGGCAGGCTAACGTTTTACTGGTGCCCTTACTCCGCTAATGAGCAAACACTTACTGTTGAAAAGTTAGAGGTTTTCGGTGGTATGCTTATCATATTGATGAGCCATCATGTCTTTTTGGCTTTTTCCAAATATGAAATTCGCGCGACACTAAACACGACAAATTGACGTTGTGCATCCCTATCATCCGCTTGGGCGGCGGTCAATTTGACCTCCCAAAGGCCTTTTCTAAAATTATTTGAGTCGCGCTAAAAATTACACACCATAGGCAGTGGAATACCAGATCTTTTGGTACTAAAAATTAGATGCACCTTGCAAGGCTTCTGACCTGTGGCAAGCACGTCCTTATAAATCGTTGAATCTTATGCAACAACCGAGTGCGAGACGAATTCATAAATTGCAAGGCTGCTGACCTGTGGCGGGCACGTTCTTATGAATCGTTGAATCTCATGCAACAACCGAGTGTGAGACAACTCCATAATCTCCGAAATGGTCTCTTACACAATATGACACTCTTTTTTAGAATCACCACAAATTTAATTGACCTTGGGTCCGGTATGAGGTGAAACCGAGGCCGTAACCTTGCTTTTTTACTGGAGACCTTGCGTTAGCGGATAGTTACTGATGCTCATACATAATTTTTTTATAGCATAGATCGCAGCAGACATCATCCATGGGCTTCTTAAAAGCCAGAGTAGGTCACTGACCTAATATGACTCGGATCAACCGTTTGTTTTGGGAACATAACTTCTTGGATAATCCTTATCGCTGATTCAACTTAAAAACTCGAAATAGTTTCATCGGTTTTTGGTCAAAATAGCCTTCTAAATGTCAAGCAAGACCGCTAGCTACTGACCTTTGATGGCAACAGATATTCAGATTGAAGGCAGCTGCATGAGGGGGTCTGGAGACACTTAAGATACCAATCTAGATACTGACCTTATTCGACCTTATTTCACTCAATGGCGCAGACCAAATGGTCTCAACGTTCGGCGCCAGTGAGGTCACATCAGAACTAAACCACTGCGTGAGTTTGTTGTCTCTGGCCTCCTTACTTTTTGGGATCTCAGATGGGTCAAATCCATCCTCACTCTCCCGAGCGTGTGTATTCAACCGACCACCCGAGCGCGTGCTTTTTTAAGGGGCGTGTCCGGTAGTATTACTTGAACGCTAGCCATGCGATCACGGTCGTGCTATTGTCCAACTTCTCTGGGAGTGGCAAAGAAAAGGTCAACATCTTCCTCCCCGAACACCTGATCAGATATCTGACTACACTGTGACAGACGAGTGGGCGGGCATCTCAAACCCGCGCTTATCTGATTTGCCACTGACCGTCAGTCGATAAGAAGACAGGCATCCCCAAATCCACGCTCACCTGATTCGCCATTGACCGTCAGTTGATTAGCAGGCAGGCATATCCCAAACCCGCGCTCCCCTGGTTTGCCACTGACCGCCAGTTGATAAGCAGCCCGGCAGCCAGTTCGATAAACGGTGGTCATGTCACGGCGCTACAGCACGCGGTAAAATTGGTCAACAAATATTTGCCGCGGAGTTGGTGTTGCTCTATATGGTCCTGACGCGTGCGCTAGAAATATCGGTGAGATGAATAGAAGACCTCTGCCCCTTTCGGAAAGGAGATCACTCGGGCAACATGCCGTGAAAAGTTGTTGTAGTGGTGGCCAAGTGTGAACGGTGCGTGGCACAAGTTACCATTACTTAAGTCTTTACTTCAGCACGTATGGCAATGTGACCTGTAATTGTTATGGTGTGGGGAAGCGAAATCTGAGCATATCTTTACGACCTTTTGCACACTAATTTATTGATAGGGCACGAATCTTTCTGGCACTAAAATTATATGTCGTTCCTGTGTTTAATAGCTTGATCGCTTGTTAATGAGGTTCAAAACGTTAACAAGGATGTCGAAGACCGGTGGGTAATTGCCTAGCCATAAAATACCGGTTTAATGGTTTTCTTATGCCCTCACTGCAGTCAATCTGAACTTAACGAGGCACAAGTTGTAGATTGGTACTCGATGCTACGAACTGCGGGGTACGGAATATGACCCTATGACGCCCCAGTTATGTCCCTCTTAACAACTTTGGGGAGCCTACATTCAAACGACGCGCTGTTCAAAACTCCTCAATCATATCGCTCGCCTTCCACCGCCAAAATTATGTGATTGGATGCCTGGCAGGGGTCGATAACCAATCAGGTTCAAGGTAGATTGTCGACCACCAGGTGGCGCCTCATTATCGGGACATCGTCGCCCGGTGATAGACATGTGATTTGAGACCTCCTCTGATCAGACGCATTTGCAAGGGTATCCGTACCCAAAAGCTTATGTTACCTACATGATGATAACTGACATCAGTCATGGCTGTTGGATTAACTACTTCCATACGTCTCTTAGGAACACCATGCATAGTTTTTGCAGCCCTTCCCGGAATAACATATTGCAATGAACCCCAAGGCATTAGCCCATCCTTGTCCTATGAACTGGCTTTTGCAGGCCGGGAGAACACAGGGTGGCAAAAGTGCACTTTTTCGCCGGCCAAATTTCGGGAGGAAAAATTCTCGCTAGTGGCATATTGCGATATCAAATGACAAAATGGTCATTATGTCCATGCCAGTAGCGTCATCAGTAATTAGACTACCAGGGAAGGCCTCTTTCATCGCCCGCAATTTTCGATATCATGCACATAACCGAGACGTTCAATCTATACTATTCTTCAACAAATGTCAGGATAAGTGCTGCTGCTAGAAAAGCAGACGCACCTGCCCTAGACCATGAGATAGCCCATCACGACAGGAGTTTTCTTCCACCCTTGGGACTTGGCGGGCCCTCGCGTTTAAACTTGATCCACGGCTGGATTTGCTTTCCTCGACCGCAAAAAAAACAACGAAGTGCCTCGGTAGCCAGGGCAGCAGAATGCATGGCAAATTTCGAGTCAGTGGCAAGTGACACTGGGGATTTCGTCAAATATATGGGCCTCTACGAGACCATGCCCCTTGTGAAAATCACGTGTGCGCTTCAAATCTCATCTCAACAGTCATCAAACTATCCATCAAATCTGAGGCATGCTCCAGGCCCGGCACAACGTGTTTTGAACTGGTGGGCGACTTTCGCTGTGCCCCAACAAGTGTCCCAAACGATCCATCATACCTTAGGCGTGCTCCAAGCCCGGCACGACGTGTTTTGACTGGTAGGCGCCTTTCGCCGTGCCCCAACAAGTAAATGGTATAGAAACTTGTCAAAACTTCACATCAGGCGGCTAGCTCTCCCTGAACAAGGTGCTCACCCTGACAGGAGGGGAGGAGATGATGCGACCCCCCCGCCCCCTTCGGTTTTCTGAGGACACCAATGCGCCATATTGTGCAGTCTCGTTCAAATCTTTGGTAGCCCCTGGGGCATCGATTGCACGCATGTTGACACAAACAGTGTCCCTAGCAATTCTGGTTTCAAAGTAGCGATGTTTTTTTACGAGCATTGCAAGACGATTCAGGGCCAGAGGGTGCGGCGGTCGCCAAGCGACGATTCTGCGGACCGTGCGCGGAGGGTTGGCACTGTTACATGAGCGAAAAACTACGTTATAAATGTAGGCTCCAAATAGATGTCATTGTGTTCACAATTAAACAAGGGACATGCCTCTTACTGTTCCATGTAACTACAATGCGTAGTTTCGTGTATATGACCATGCAAAGGTGACATTTGCTTTTCAGGAAAATTTGATCTTCGACTTTGTTTGGCGGAGTCAATTAACAACAGAAGTCTTCTTTCCAACCAAGGGATATCATTAAAGACAATTTATCGTTTGTTGCTTTTTGCGAGGCTTCATCTTTCTTAGTTTGCAAACGTCAGAAATCCTAACCCCAGATTTGTGCT